AAAGAGTTGGATAAAGTCTTTTGCTTTTGTTGTAAATTGTTTAAAATAATTGCCTCAAAAAGTGAGTTAGCAAAAGATGGAACTAGTGATTGGAGACATCTTGGTAAGAAGCTTGACCAATATGAAAAGAGTAAAGAGCATCTCATTAATTCGAGAACTTGGGTTGAGTTGAAAAGTAGATTGACAAAAAATCAGACAATTGACAAAGAATTTCAAATGCAAATCAAGAAAGAGCCAAATCATTGGAAACAAGTGATGCTTAGAATTATTGATGTTATGAAATGTCTTGCCATACGTAATTTAGCATTTCGTGGAACAAATGAAAGACTTTATGAAGACTCTAATGGCAACTTCTTAGGTTTACTTGAAATGAATGCGGAGTTTGATCCAATAATGCAATAGCATTTTCGACTTATTGAGAATAAAGAGATTCATCATCACTATTTGAGCCATAAAATTCAAAATTGAAGGAAATTTTGTGAGAAACATGTTCATTTGAGCAACATCTATGGCATGCAATTAACAATTAAAGGCGGAATCATGCTTGTATGCACTCAAAACAAAACATTACCCATGAAATTCAAAGCCTAGTAGTTATGTGAACCAAGACTCAACTCAAGAACAAAGTGAGTTGAGAAATTTTATACCTTTGTTGATTCCTCTTTGCATAAGCAAAGGCTAATCACCCAAGGCGAGGGCCTTCATTCCTTGCTTCTTAGCTCCATGGATTTCTTGGATGAAGATGGTTGAAAGGAACCTCTAAGTCTCCACACCAAGGAATGACTTGAAGAAGAGATGAGTGACCTAGAGGAAGTAAGATTGCTAGCTAAAATCCTCTAGGGTGGCCAGCCTCTTAGAGAGAAAAGGGAGCTTGTGTTCTCATCTTTTCTCCAAAAGAAACCCTAAGGATGAAATGGCTATAAAGTTGCCTTTATACCACCTCACAATGGAATGGCAAACTTGCAATTAAGCCAAGTTCACTACCCCTCTCTATATGGCTGGTTTTCCCAAGCCTTTGGGCTGTTTTGGGCTTCTTGAATTTTGTTTGTTAAGTTGTCATACAACTTAAGCTAATGGGTTTGAAGATTCGAAGCCCAATTTGGGCTTTAATGCCCAAAACTAACTCAAGGTTTAACCCGAACTTATTCGTTTGATTAATTAACATATTAATTAATTCTTGTCATAAACAATTAAACCATTTAATTGTCCTTACTTATCTCCGTTGTTTTTTCAATCTCTACCTTACACGGTGTACGATCCATTAGGTTCCTTTTAGCGAGGCAGTGAGCGATTAGAACTCTTTCAAATCGATTGTAAATTGAAACTTACTTTCAATTCTCCCTTTAGTGATTATACACGTTTAGGGCTTCCACAAATCATGAGTAACACCTAGCAGTATGTCATGGTTACCCAAGCTGATCAGAAGAGGTGGAGAACCTATTTAGTTTAGGATTACAATGCAATACGGTCTTACTCTAATACAATACTCTTGACCACATTGTTTGGTTTGATAGTTTATTCATGTCTACTATCCAATGTGATTCTCTTACTTATATGATTACCTTGAATGTGATTTGGAACGACTTCTTAAATATCATTCATACTCTGGCCAGAGATTCTTAATCATATCATAGAGTATTCTCCCTCAAATAGTTTGAAGGTTAGAGATCCCTTATTGTGCATTCACTTGCCTCCATGGCTAAGTGGCTTAACCCCAACTATGCAATGGACACCCTCTGACGGAGTGACTTTGACATAGTCAAAGATCAAGGACCTAACCACAAGACAACTATGATGCCTCAGGTCAAATGACTACTTTGCATTATTCCAACCACGAGTTCTCATGTGACATGAGTATGAGAACTCCTTGTTGATCGTGTTCAGTGGACTCATTCTCTATTGAGCACCTACATGCTTGTCTTGGTGTCAGTCACACCAATGACTCGAGACCAGTCACTCTCCTTAAGAGAAGACATAACACGTACTGATCTTAACAGACTATCAATGCCCAATTGACAATCCTATGATCAGTAACGTTTAGGATATGTATACGGAAGAGAATGGTCTCATGAATCTAACTTCTTTAGATCGCATTCTCCCAATTACATATTCCTTGGACTTATCGTTTAAGCGTATAACATTTATATGAGACGGCTACAAACAATAATTTTTGCCCTTTATATTAAACTATATTAGTTTAACATGTGAAACGTTCGTAAAGTATCATCATATGATTGGTTTTAGGGCACATTTCCAACAAAAATGAGTTGATAGCTACTTTAGCTTCAAAAGTCAAAACCGCAATCATTAAAAAAGTAAAAGAAGCCAAATTTTTTTTTGTCATTCTTGATTGTACTCCTAATGCAAGTCATGTGGAACAGATGACTTTAATTTTGTGATGTGTTGACTTGTCAAGTAGGTCAATAAATATAAGGGAGTATTTCATGGAGTTTTTAAGTGTGAAAGATACATTAGGACAAGGGCTTTTTAACGAGCTGCAAGATGTCCTAAAATCTCTTGATCTTGATATTGATCAAGGTCTAAAATATCAATGATATCGAAAATATTGATAGTCCAAAAATACGGAAATTTTGATGGAAATATCGGGATATTATCGATATCGATAAAAATTGAATAAAAACCACGGAAATTATAAGAAAAACTTGGAAATTTTTATTGAAACTTTGCAGGATGTTTATTTAGTCAATTATCTACTAGTTTATTACAAAAAATTGGAACGAAATGCATTTCATGATGGATTTAACTTATTTAAGTTGATTATATAGTGAGCTGACAAACATTTTGAGTGTAGAAAATATGTAGTAATTAATGAAAGAAGTTAAACACACCATAATCATTTATATATAATGAATTAATACAATATTTTACACTTTATACATTGCATGGTAAGATACATGAGTGACTTAGTATCACATAGAGTTCCTATCAAGGTCTAAAATATCGATGATATCGGAAATATCGGTAATCCAAAAACACAGAAATTTCGAAAGAAATATCGGGATAATATCGATATTTTAGACCTTGATATTGATGATATGAGGGGACAGGGTTATGATAATGGATCTAACATGAGAGGGAAACACCAAGTTGTCCAGAAAAGATTGTTAGACATAAATCCCATAGCCTTTTACATGCCATGTGGTTTTCATTAGCTTAATTTAATAGTTTGTGATATGGCAAGTTCATGTCTTAAAGCAAAATCTTTTTTTAGAGCATGTCAATGCATATATATGGTGTTTTCCAACTCTACAAAGCGTTGGAATATTTTGGTTGAACATATTGATGGTTTAACTTTGAAGTCATTGTCAACTACTCGATGGGAAAGTCACATTGAAAATGTTAAAGCAATTAAGTCTCAAGTAGCCCAGGTTAGAAATGCTTTGTTTAATTGGTGGAAATTACTGAAAATCCTCAATTAAGTAGGGATGCAAGATGTTTAGCATCAGGCGAACTTTCAAGTTTTGATTTTGTATTAAGTTTGGTTATTTAGTATGACATTTTGTTGAAGATTAACATGGTGAGCATAAAATTACAATCTAAAGACATGCGTCTTGATGTTGCTGTAAAGGCATTTGAAGCATTTGTTACATTTTTTGGAAACTACAGAGAAACTGGTTTTGCTTCCGCCATGAGTGATGCTAATGAAATTGCACTTGATTTGGAAATTGACCCTGTTTTTTCAAACTAAATGTCATAGACCTAGAAAAAGACATCATGATGAAGTTGATGGTAATGAGAGGGAACAATAATCTGCTAAAGAATCATTTAGGAAATATTATTTTCTTGTTATAGTGGATATTGCTCTTTCTCAACTGAAACACAAGTTTGAACAGTTAAAATCCTTTGAATCTATTTTTGGCTTCTTGTTTGATGCACCAAAGTTAATTTCATTGGATGATCAAGAGCTAAAAGAAAATTGTATGAATCTTGAAGCACATTTGAAACATGGAAATACCATGGATGTAGATGGAGTTGACTTATATTCCGAATTGCAGGTTTTGCAAATGATATTACCTGAAGAAGCATTTCTCTCTAATAACCCTTGGACATCCATGGAAATAGCAAATTTTGTAAAAGAAACTGACATGTGTCCTAATGTCTTGATTGCTTATCGTGTACTGTTAACTGTACTTGTGACCATGGCATCTGCAAAAAGAAGTTTTTCAAAATTGAAATTATTAAAATCTTACTTGCGGACCACTATGACTCAAGATAGGCTAAATGGATTAGCAATCTTATGCATTGAAAATGATGAGATTGAAGACTTGGAGTATGATGATATAATTGATGATTTTGCTTCAAAAAATGCCAGAAGACAATTTCTTAAAGGTTGAAATTTGAAGGAGATTTGCTAGGAGTGGTTGTATATGATTGTACTTTTGATTGTCGGGGTTTAGGTACCATGTCCCCTCCTCAGTTGTATATTTTCTCAAGTAATATAATTTGGGCGTGAGGTCCTAGCCCTCCAGCTTCGACTGGGTTCCAGCCCTCATTAAATATTTTTTTTAATATATGTTTTCGTATTAAAAAATGTCACATTTTGAGCTTTCGCACTGGGCACCCAAAAACTCAGAACTAGCCCTGTACATGGGTAGCAAAGCCACTCTTGTACACCTGAGTTCGATATGTTTTTTTTTTCTCAAAATTTGGATTAAAGTATAATATCGTCCAAAACAAATGCAGTACATCAATATTGTTTTCAGATATTAATTTCCTAAAAAAAAATCAAAATTTATATTATATCAATGATAATTATATAGTCCAACCATGATGATCCGACGATTCAAAAACCATTGTGAGATGTCCATCGTTCCACGTACCCATTTGTCTTATAGGATACAAACTTGCTAAGCCATTTTTTCCTTTTCTTTTTTCTTGTTTTTGTTTTGTCAAAAATTTTCGTAGTTATATGGATACTGAGTCTTTACATTTAAAAAATTAATGGTATGAAGAAATCATTTAAAATGAGATGTGGCCACTAGGAAATAAACACCGAGTAAACAGTATTATTATGAACAATAACAATGACATACATACATACATACATACATAGATGGCATGCTAAAAGAAAACCAGATAGCACCCATTAATTGAAAAGGACATTTAACCACTCAACTATTGTAGCGATATTGTTGAGATTAAGCATCACACTCTCACTGATCACACCACATGATAACTAGTAAAAACACAACATTGCATATGTAGTCAAAAGATGATGTTCCACAATCCACATAGATCTAGAAGTGGTGGTGCTTCTTCTTTCCATAAGCCTCTTCCTCTTCTTCCTTTGTCTCTTTCTTCTCATGATGCTCATGGAAGGCAAATCCACCCGAACCAACTGCAGCTGCTGCAGCAATCTCCTCTTCTATCTTGTGCCTGTGGGCATGCTCTGGGTCTTTCTTTTCATTGTGCTTCTCATGCTACACACATCATATAGAAACTGACATAAGTTATATATCTTGCTAGCATCGATCTCACATCAATGTAAAACAAACCTTGAAATTAACACATATTTGATTAGATTTGTCCTCGTATATATAAGATCAGGTGGTTAAGGCTTAATAATATCAAAACTCTACATGAACTATTACGAAGGTATCAGTTAACTCATTTCTTCTCCTGATTGCAACTGTACCATTTACATGAGGACTTTGATTCCGTATCTTACATACCTATATGGTTCATCAATTCCGTCCATTGTTAATGGTAGACTTTGATTCCGTATCTTACCTACCTAGTCCATCAATAATTGCGCAACTCTCCATATCACTAATTAATTTTACGATAGGACTTTAATTTTCTTCACAATTAAAGTTGCAATGGACAGAGTTGATAGATTGGAGTACTGTAAGACAAAAAAATGAAGGTTAAGGAGGAGGACGGTGATTCGGTTGCAAGAGTATGGGTAAAGTGATCAAGGGTAAAGTGATAAAGAGTAAAGTGATCAAATATTCAAAAGGATATGACAGAAAGAATAAATTTTTTTTAACTAAATTGTAAATCAAATGATATGTCGTTAATAAGAAACAAACAATCGATACTTAATTAATAATCCAATCATCTATTGGTTTGCAAATTTGGTTTAGAAATTTTGATCTCCCGTATTACCCTATCAAAATCATGAAAATTTTGAGAATGATAAAGTTAGGAAGACCAAATTTCTAAACCAAATAATGTGTCACTATTAGAAAATAAGCATGTTAATCAAGACTTGAGTAATAAGTTCATTATCAACAACCACATCATTTAGTTTTCAAAATTTGGTCTTATTAGCATTATTCTAATATATATATATATAGAGGTGGGTTAAAATACAATACGTACCAAGGCAAAAGCGCCGGCAGCAGCTACACCGGCCTCGCCGAGGTGCTCGAGATGCTTGTGGTGCTTCTCCTCCTTCTTGTAATCAAGTTCAGATTCATGAGTGGTGGTGCTGCCATATGCCGCAGTAGTCTCACTGTACCGGCCACCGCCGGGTCTTTCAACTCTTTCCTCAGAGTAAGCAGTGGTCTCGTTATAGCCGCCATAGCCGCCGGGACGTCCTTCACCAGAATAAGCATTGGTGTCGCCATAGCCACCACCTAGGCCGCCGGTACGTCCTTCACCAGAATAATCATTGGTGTCGCCGTAACCACCACCGAGGCCGCCGGGACGTCCTTCATCAGAGTAGCCAGACTGAGGGTAGTCTGAGGGTTTGTCTTCATCCTTGTGGTGGTGGAAGAGACCGCGGTGGTGTTTCTCTTCAGACATGATAGGTTTTTGGATATTATGCGGAAAACAGAATGGTTATGATGAGGAGGAGGATTTGTAACGTGGGTTGTGATGGTGTGAGGGAGTTGGGTGCATGGTGGAGGGTATTTATAACGTTGGTGCCCAATATTTACCCATTTTTTCTTCAATTAATGTAACCGAGTATGCTTGCAGAATTTTTCTTACCGTCTGATTTAATCATACAGCTGAGATTGAGTGTCCTCTATAGTCACTTTTTATTTTTTTGAATACATCAATATTTTTACATTAAAGGAAATGAGAGTTCGGCTAAGCCACATAGTGAGCAATCTAATTTGATATCAAATTCGTCATCCACGAGATTCGAACTTAAAACCTCTCACTTTCAAATGAAGAAAAATATCATAAGACTGTAGTACTAAGTGGTCACTCATTTTTTATTTAGCACAATCAAATGTTGTCAAGTGCTGCTTATTTTTTAAAGTAAAACAAACATTAATAAATATGTTTATTATTTTTTAAAACAATAAAACATGTTTAAAATTTCATTGAACTAATCAAAAGTGAGTATTATCCTTTTGAAACAGCTACACAACCTTTGGATCTTTTTTGTGAAGATCATAAAGGTCCTTACATTATATCTGTTTATCGTATATTGTACGACTAATTTTTATTAAGTACTATATGTGTTTAATTTTAAATAAAACAATTTAAAATGATTTTTGACCAATCCGAATGGAATTCAAATCTGCCAATTGCCCTTTATTTATCATTATATAAAAGTGAAAAAAAATCTATATTTGGTGCTCGGTTGCACCAAAGAAAAATCGAATATTTACAGGTTCAAATGTAAAATACTAAATAGGGTAAAAGTAAAGGGGCTCGATCATGTTATCTAGACACACTGATATAAATTAAGATTATTTGGATTCTCTTTGTGAAGATCATGTGAATCACTGCCGTCATAAATTATTTTAATTTTTTATATTTAAAATTAAATACAAATAATAGCTCACAAAAAAGATCTGGAGAGGATTCTCATTCCACTGATAACATCCTAATACTGGTAAGTCTTACTATTATGAGTAATATTAAAAAGGTTACATTTTTTTACAGCGTCAGCATATCATACACCCTACATTACAACATATGATACATACAACTAAGTTTTAATGAAATAATTTATTGATTGACATCACTTGTCTTATCAACTAGTATAATTATATTGTGCAATGCGGTCCCCTTGCGACATGCATCGCCAGTTATGCTTACCTAGGTGGACGGTTAGGATTGCTCTATCGTAAAGTGATGGCACCCATTTAAAGTGGGCAAGGGCAATCATATATGGATAAGATTTTCTTGAATTAGGAATAAAAATTTGGTAGTGACATCTACAAATGTATTTTTAATTCATAAATACTGTTCTCAATTTTTGTATAACTGGCAAAATGAATTGAAGAAATCAATGGACAAAGTTAATAAATGTGTAAGAAATAAAAATGAGTGTAAATAGTGTATCTTTAAAAAATTTCTTAACACTATGTTTGGATGAAGAAATTTAATATTACTAAGGAATTTTAAAATGACGGAAATTGAAATGATGAGATTTTATATTTTAGAATTTGTGAATTTTCTTATTTGGTTAACCTAAAAGAACAATTGAATTGAATACGGAATTTATTATTTTTAAACTTTCAATTTGAGAATTGGAGGTCTCAAATTCTAAGTATTTTTTTTTTCCACGCGGAAATTCTAAATTTATATGTTTATGAATCCAAACAAAGAATTTGGTGTATGTCAATTTATAAAGTTTGACCTTCATCCAAATATAGTGTAAGTTAATAGTACCTTCAAAAGTAGGAAACTGTTTTATTCTTTATTCAAAGATATAACAAATTATCCCTCAAGTAGTGTGGTGTTAGTTGAGGAAATTCTCAGCGGAGACTCACCCAGTCTTATTGGAAATTCTCAAAAAGTGGTAAATAAAGGAAATTCTAAAAGAGTGTGGTTAATCCAAACTTCACACATTTTTTAATACGCGATTGGACAGAACACAGGATAAACATTATTCACAAGAAATGAAATTGTAGACATCGAAATTGCGGTGAAATAAATGTTCACCAACGCATTAAAATTTTGACGTGTCAAGGCATATATGGCATATGCCACGTGTCATACAAATTGTACACATGGTGTGTGACTCAACAAAATAAAAAGAAATACCCTTGGAGGATTACACAAGTTTTTCTTCTCATTTTGGGCAATGACAAGGCAAAGCACATTTCAATCCATTGAAGATCAAAACAAGGTTTTCTTCTCATTTTGGGCAATGACAAAGCATGCACATATCAAGTTTAAAATGATATTAAGTGGAAAATTAGGCCATAAAATTACCACTTCAAGTTTAAAATTGTATTAAGTGGGAAATTAGGCAATGGTGCTTGGAAAAGAAAAAAATATTTTGTGGTGGTGATTCATTCTCAAAGCCTATAAATAGGCTTCTACATCAAGGTATCAAAAACCAATTCACAAATACATTTCTCTACTCCCAAAATGTAAGAGAATACTCCCCACACATCCAAAATCCTTGAAGCTTTGAAACTCTAAAGCTTTCAAGCATCCAACCTCCCAAATTCAAGCAAATTCCGAAGGATCAAGAAAGCTCTCTTCGTTCTTCGTCAAATCCTTCTTCAAGATCAAGCCCCAACGGCCCTTGACGAACTTCCACCAATTCAAGATCAAGCATCGACGGCCCTTGAAGAAAGTGTTCAACAAATCCACACAACTGTTCATCCCAAGATCAAGCCCCGACGGCCCTTGGATCAACAATCATCCACCTTCAAGATCAAGCCCCAAAGGCCCTGAAGAACTTCCACCAATTCAAGATCAAGCCCCGATGGCCCTTGAAGAAAGTGTTCATTGTTCATCATCCGTTCATCCCGAAGAATCAAGAAAGCCTTCTTCGTTCTTCGTTCATCGTTCTTCCAAGATCAAGCCCCGACGGCCCTTTGATTAACAATCACCAATTCAAGATCAAGCCCCGACGGCCCTTGAAGAAAGTGTTCTTCGTTCTTCATTCTTCGTTCACCGTTCTTCCAAGATCAAGCCCCGACGGCCCTTGGATCAACAATCACCAATTCAAGATCAAGCCCCGACGGCCTTTGAAGAAAGTGTTCTTCGTTCTTCGTTCATCGTTCTTCCAAGATCAAGCCCCGACGGCCCTTGGATCAACAACATCAACAAATCCACACATCCAACCGTTCTTCAAGATCAAGCCCAAAAGCCCTTGAAGATCCGTTCATCACCGTTATTCAAGATCAAGCCTTAACGGCCCTTGAAGAAACACTCATCCTCAAGATCAAGCCCCAACGGCTCCTTGAAGATCCGCTCAAATCCACCTTCAAAGATCAAGCCCACGGCCCCTTGAAGAAACTTCCAACAGTTCATCCAAGATCAAGCCTCGACGGCCCTTAGATCAACGAAACATCCATAAATCAACACCTTACGGAGATCGAATCAGAGGATCAAGTTAAAAGAGATCGTAACCCAACAAATCCATTAACACCAAAATATTATTTTGTGCACGTTGTTCTTGTCTCTTTCGTTTCAGGAAATTTTCGTGTTCACAAATTGGCACGCCCGGTGGGACAATCTCTACCTCTCATATCTTTCTCCGTTTAAGGAATCCAAACACACCTCAAAATCAATGGCATCAAGCAAGGGACAAGCCGTTCTCGCAATCACTGAGGGAAGGATCCTAAGCACTTCTGCCGCAAATGGACAATCCATTAGCACCACAACCGCTCCTTAACATGCCACTTCAAAGTTGGTGCCGCTAAAAGAGCAAAGGGAGCATCAAAGGTGTGAGTCTGTCATCAACCTGACCTCGCTGGGGGCACCAAAGCATGTTGCTGAGGCACACAAGATGACATCCCAAAACAACCAATGACGTTCTTCTTCAGCATCTTGGATGTCTAAAGGAAAGTCACGTCTATTGGTTGCACAAGTCATGACCATCGGCGTTACCTCCATCGAAGAACAACTGGCTCAAATGAATGAAGCAATCGCAAGGCTAACCCGAACTGTGGAAGAAAAAGACTTGCAAATCGCTGCACTCATCAGTCAACTGGAGCCACAGGACAGCGAGAACCCTAACCCAGAAGATGAGCCTACGGTGGAGAAAATCGATGTGAAGCCGGAGCCAGACCAAGAAGCGGCACTCATGGGATCTCTTTCTATCCAACAGTTGCAAGAGATGATTGCCAGCACCGTCAAGGCATAGTACGAAGGGAGCTCAAATACCTCCGGGTTGTACTCAAAGCCTTATTCAAAGAAGATTGATGCCCTAAAGATGCCGATGGGATATCAACCACCAAAGTTCATGCAGTTTGATGGAAAAGGAAACCCAAAGCAGCACGTTGCACATTTCGTCAAAACTTGCAACAACGCGGGGACGGAGGGGGACTACTTCGCCAAGCAGTTTATGCGCTCGCTGAAAAGAAACGCATTTGAGTGGTACACGGACCTAGAGCCTGAGTCCATCAACAGCTGGGAGCAATTGGAGCGGGAATTCCTCAACCGCTTCTACAACACCCGCCGCACTGTAAGCATGTTGGAGCTCACAAGTATGAAGCAATGGAAAGATGAGCCGGTCATTGACTACATCAACAGATGGCGCACTCTAAGCCTCGACTGCAAAGATAGGCTCTCGGAGACCTCTTCAATCGAGATGTGCATCCAAGGCATGCAATGAGGTTTGCAATACATCCTTCAAGGCATTAAACCACGGACCTTCGAGGAATTGGCCACCCACGCCCATGACATGGAGTTGAGCATCACCCATCATGGGAAGAAGGAACCGATCGCCGACTACAAGAACGACAAAATTCTTGAGACAAAGGTGGAGAAGGCTACGTGGAAATCCACCAAGGAAGCAATGACAGTCAACACATCTCCCGTCAAAATCTCCACACGAGGCAAAACGATTCAAACCGAAGCTTTTCGTGATCAAGAGATGCGTAGACGCACTTTGAAGGAGCTTAAAGAGAAGACTTATCCATTCCCTGACTCTGATGTGGTTGCCATGTTGGATGACCTGTTGGACAAGAAGGTGATC